GCTATCTGTAATGCTTTCAACAATAAAGATAAATTTTAAAAATTTTAAAAATATGAAAATAAAATAAAGAAAAATAGTATAGAAAAAATACAGAATTTATCCAACAAAAAGAAAATGAAATAAGGTAAACATGAAATAAATTGCATGATAAAAGAGCTAACATTAATTATAGTGATAATTACTTCAACTGTAAATTGACTAAACAACCAAATGAAAGATATATATTTTCAGTTTAAATTTAAGAAAAAAAAATAAAGAATACAACTATGTTTTTAAAAGATATATTTAAAATATAGCAAACATATAATTTGAGTAAAAGTGTGAAAAAAAAAAGCATACTTTAGTGTGGCTGTATACACACTAAATATGCTTTGACAAAAGTAATACCCCCCAAAATTATAATGTCGAGAAGATCAAGTTAGTTAAGAACAATATTAAGTGTATATGTACCTTTAAAACTTCTATACAGATGTGAGAAAACTTGGCATAAATAAGTAAATAAATAAGTGCAAGGCATAGTTAGAGATGTTAACATTTTCTCAGGATTTGATAAAATGGACCAAAAAAAAGTGACAGTAAAAATATAAATGATTTTAAAAAACATTATGAACCAATATTCATAATCTAGTTAACAGTTACTGAATGTTACATTTAACAAATATACATGGAACATTTATTAGAATTGACTATAGATTTGGTACTAAAACATGTCAATAAATGCTGAAGGCCTGAAACCATTCAATTTATATCATCTGACCACCATGGTATTTAACTAGAAATTAATAGATATCTGATAACATATTTGGAAAAAAACTTAAGTATTTGGAAATTTATCATCATACCTCTACATAAACCATGGAGCAAAAAATAAATAAGTAAAGCAAAACTTTTTTTAAATGTCACAATTCATATCACACTGGAAATTAAATCCTTTGCACCTACTTAAACACAGAATAAAAAATTTAAGTGTTAACTTTAGAAATGTGTTGGGGACTACATAGCTTTTGAAAATTCTCTTATGGAGAACTTGAGTACCAAAGGGTGAAATGCACTGCTCAAGCTCACGGGAGATATCTAATGAATAATCTGTGCCTTCAGAGACCATGGCAATTAAGGGTGAATTGTGGGGAAAGGGTGGTGAGCACATAGGGGTTGTTAGTCTGATTTTTCTACATCACTTTTAGATTTGTGTATTGAGAAGCTTCAAGTTCCTGGAGGGGCAAAGCATGCACACTCACATGCACACAAACACACACACACTTCCTAGTAGTTTTAGGTAGTAGCAGGTGTCCTGCAGAATGGTGCAACAATAATTTCTATTCTACTAAGTGTGTTTGGATGTAGTGGAAAGTTCATCTTCTCTGAAAGGACTTTGCATCAGAAACAAGGGACAACTCCAGTATCACCTGTGAACTGATGACAATGTTTAAATAGAAAAGTGATGTTGCCATAGATACCAATATAGATCTGCGACAGCAAATATCAATTGAACTATTTTGATGCATTCTGAGGTAAAAGAGAGGGACAAGTGCTTAAATACATAGGAGAAATAATTTTGCTGTCCTAATGGAAAAACTATAGCATACACTTATTGACCTTTTACTCTGTGTCAGGCACTTTAAGAATTCCATTTATATTAATTTATAATTTTCACAACTACTACATGTGATAGACATTGTTATAATTCCGTTAGGAACACAAAAATTCATCAAATATGAATGTAATATTCCCAGAAGCTGGAATGGAAATTTAAAGCAGAAATAGAGATTCATATTGAAATCATAAAATTTGAATATAGTTATTTTGTAGGTTGGTGTGTGCATAATCTGTGGATATGACAGACAGCATATGTGTATGTAAAAACATCCTTAGAACTTCAGATTTTCCCAGGCTGATGCGGTTTGGGAAGCACTTCCTCAGTATTTTGTTTTCCATGGTTGCTTTTCCTCTCCATGGGTCAAGTTGACTCTCACCTTCAACCCACAATTTACAGTTGCCACATCACATCAGCTCAGAAGAAACTTCACAGGTCCAACTTCTCTGACGAGTGACTCTATTCTGATTGCAGCTCTGCTCTGAGCAGAGAAGGGAAGATAAATCTCCCCCCCCCCCGCCTCCACACACACAAACACAAATCAGTAAAAGAAAAAAAAATAAAACAAGAAGTTTAGCTTCCCCCTCCCCCCTACATAGAATTGTAGATATAGCATTTTAAAATGACCTAAGCAAATAGGAAATTCCTTTCATCTCATTGTATCTTTCATGGGCCAAGGACCATTCATATATGTGTAACAAAAAATATCCAGAGAAACAATAGGAGTGACTTTTATTTTCATAATGATTCCATCATATGTCCATTTTGTCATGCAGAAATTATGATGTTTTTGATCTCATAAAATGTTTGGATGACATTTATAACATAAATAATTCAGAGGAAAGGAAAACACTTAGAATTCACCGCACTTTTGTTCTTGGGGATTGAGAGGTAACCTAACATAGAATAAACAGTTTTAATGTGTTTGTTATAATGTCATTCTTTAATAGCATTTTATGTAAGTAACACTCAAGCATGGCAACATAATAGCCCTGAGAAATACACAATTCAAACTGACTGGAAAGCATTATTTTACGAGGTGAACAGACAAATACATTAGTGAGTAGAGTGAAGATGACTGTTTTGTTGTTGTTGGAGCTAGTTCTTCCAATTCCAATCACCTGTGCACTATGAAAGAAACCTTGTGATGAAACCATAAACACTGAAATATACACTGGAGCCTCCTTAGGAAAAATATATTATTGGCGATTAATTTCACCAAAGAGCACATACATAGAATCTATAGCAATTGGTTTTGATTTGGCAGAGGGGATTGTATTCTTGTGGAAAAAAGTGATTGGATAAAAGGATGGTGTTATACATTAAGAAAAAAAATAGAAATTATTTCCACGACAGTCTTCCACAACTTTGTCATCACACATAAAATTCCATAGAGTTCTCAATGCCTCTTGTTAAGAAAACATTTTTACTTACTTAGTCTGCTTATTTCCTTGTCAAGACAAGATTTTTACAGGCTTAGCTATGCTTGAAAACAAAGCTTCAGTCTCTCTTGACTTTAGCTAGAAGAACAAATATAGGAAACTGTCATCTTTTCTCAAAGTTTTTCTTCACTTAGAAAATATGAAGCTCCAGAAATGCATTAAAATTATAAGGTATATGTTAAAATTATTTTAAATTAAGGGTAAGTTGAAATATAAGCAAGGGAGATACTGAGAATGAAGCAATTAGAGAGTAGTGTAGAATCATGGGATTGATAGATTTGTTGAGATAACTTTTAATTTTTGTTGTTTCCTTTTTCTCCACTTCCATTATTGCAAGCCCCAAAATAGAAGAAATCTCAAAATCTAACTTTTGTCAGGCAAATGCTTTATTCAGTATCCAATTAAATATTAATTTACTAACTACATTTAGCTTATTTTCTTACACAGAGTGAACATTCACTGTAATGACAGTTTCATCATGCTAAAATCTATTCACAAATCTACACTTTGAAAAAAGTGCTTTTCTAGGAAATGTTATATACAACACACATGGAAAACATATTAAGTCTTTGAATTGTCAAACTACACAAAATAAAACCAATCAACCACCAACATTCAGTATATGTTAACAATATTTTTGAAAAAGAAATTTTTCTTTACATTTGGGAGCTCTGTTCAAGGATTTCTATAATTTTAAAAGTAATAAAAGTATATACAATTTAATAATGTTAAAGTAAAAGGTATTAAATAGCACAAATAATATTACAAAACTAAACACTCTTATCATCTATCAGTTGAATTTATATGAAGCAAGAAGACCTGTGTAGTTTCCCCTGTCTTTTGACTCTACAACAATTGTACTTTCAACTCTGTACACAGAATAGCTTGACCATAAACACAGAAGATGGTTTTGGCTTTACACACTTTTCTATTTCTGCACATAGAGGAGAAATAAAGAGGTTTATTTACACTCTTTATGTAGGCAAATTATTTATATAATTTGCTTTAGAGACTACTTTAGAATCATACACATTTGCAACAATAGATTTAATTAATAGCTTTTCTTTAAAAATGAACATATTTATGTTCTGTTCAACTATTTTCACCCCCTTGAGGCCTCCTCTTATAATATAATTTACCACCACTTAGATAATTAATCATATTCTTAGATTCTAATGATCAGTGATTACATTCATTTTGACAATGATTTTTAGTTCTTGAAGTTTATATATTGCAGTGCTTCAAAAGGCGACATGTTTACCTTGATAACATTCTTCAGGGATTGTTAACCACAAATAAAACTTTTGTACTAAATTTTGATTAAGTGTATCATGCAATTTCTGTTTGTACCTGGAAACATGAAAATATCTTTAAAGGTAAATAAAATAAAAGAGCAACATTTTTTACTTTAAAAGAAATATGAAAGTACGAAGAAAATTTCCATGTTCCTTTCATCTAATTGTTATTTGGAGTAAAAAACTCAATATTAAATTATTCTAATAAAATGATTCAAACATACAACTAGAAGATAATTATTTTATTCATCACAAAACTTCCCACATTTGTATTTACATACCAGTGAACACAATGCATTAACATTCTTTCAAAAGAAAGTTATGTCTATTTTTGTTCAGACTAAGTGTGTTGTTGTTTTTTTCATTTCTCCACAAAATGAACACCTCTCCAGCACACACAAAAGATCATTAAAAATGGACTGGTTACTTAAAAATCAATATGATATCTAAGGTTGGTAAACCAAAAAAAAAAAAAAGTTAATTATGGAATTAATTATTAAAGTTAAAACCTAGTCATGTTTTTTATAAACTTTTGCTAATAAAATTGCATTTTCTTCTTCAGTTTTTCTTATTATTCCACTTTGGTAGGTTTTGTGCCTCAAATACATGTTTGAAATTTCAAAAAGTGTTTCTTCTTATATTGTTTAACTTGCCACAGAGACTAAAAAATTAGAACTAAATAATCTATTAAAAAGTATTAGATTATAGTCTCTCAGTCTAGAATAACTTAAATGACTTCCAAAAAAAGTGCTTTTGTTTGGAAGACAGTAACATAAGAATATAAACTTAAATGCTATACTGACATAACTCAAATCAAAGACATTTATAGTGAGGGTCATTCATTTTATCTTCTGAAATGAGGGAACAAGAGTCCATGACAGATCTCAGCTACTGACAATTTTTAGAAAATTGAAAGTAACCAACAACATATTTCTCTGGAAGCATATAAACTTTTCTCTTTAGGAGCCACTTTTGTTTTTATGTAACTTTCAGATGCCCTCTTCTTTGTCGATTCTTCTCTTCTACATTTCTTTAGACGGCTACTCTGTCACATGCATTTATATTACTTTACTATGTAAAAGTTGTGGATTTGGTATTTGTTTGCATATATAAAATCGGTGACAATGAAAAATCCTTAAAGCAAGGAAGGAAGGTCACGGGGTTACGGCCCTCGTTCAACCAAGGGACGTAAGAATTCTAGCTGGACAACCACCGTAATGATTTGAAGAAAAGGTAAATAAAGACATAAATAAAATCTAGGTTAATTTAAATATTTATCTGCACCATGAGGACCACGACATGTCTACGGCTAGTCAGTACCCTACAAGAAAAGCATGCTGGTTGCGGGTCAGGTAGCATTCACTGCAGGCCTGTGTAATCACCCTCGGGCATTGCCCGCGGGTAAGAGCAAGATTCTTCGTTCCAAGTTGGATCACTGAAGACAGACTGGGGGAAGCAGGGCCCCAGGTAAGAAGACATTAGGACTCCGGCAGCTGGTTCCTCCTGTTCCTGCTCTTGCGGCTGTTGATGAGGGCCTTGAGCTTGCCGTAGTCCCCTCTCATCTTCGGGGCCTCCTCCAGCGGCTGCTGCCGCGTGTCCTTGCAGTACTGGTCGATCATCTGCATTTCCGAGTGGCTGAAGGCCCCCAGGATGTCCTTGGGGTGGAAGGGCAAAGCCCTCACAGAGCTGGCCCAGGTCCACGGGGACCATTTGTCTGTTACAACCGCTACCATTTCGGAATTTAACACTTTAAAGTTGATCTTGGCTACGGTCTGCTTGAAGCTGTTTTCCGTTGCGATGCAGTGATACAGTCCTTGGTCAGAGTCCTGGATGGAGCGGATCAGGAGTCCTTGGGAGGTGGCGATGATGCGCTCGTTCAGCTTGACCTGAAAGGCAGGCGGGAGAGTTCTGAGCACCCAACTCTGGCTCTTCTAAAAGCATATGGGCAACAGATACAGAATAAGGCCGATTTCCACACATTTGGCAAAAGGATGGAATACTAAGCAACGTCCTTCTTAGTGGACACAAATTTTAAGCCAGTCCCATTTCCTTCTTTCGCACAGGAGAGCTTATCTCAAGGGAACTGAATCTATTAAAGAGAGGGTGAAGTGATCACCCATATTGCCAAAAACAGCTTAAAGTGCATTGCTTTTGGATTGAAGCCGTTTCTTCACAGATAAGCCCAGAATTTTGGTTGCTTTTGGAATGTGACTCACAGTTAACATATAGAGCAAATGATATTCACACATAATTTAAAATATCTCTTTCATCCCGGAGTTCTCACCTTTTATTGTAACAAATTAAAACTTGTTAGTGAAAACGTGAAGCAACAATAAAAGGGATGGATTTCACCTGTTTCAATGAGTGAATAAATATTCTCCTAACTAAAAATTATATAAGCAGAGGCAGTTTTGAACATTGTCAAAGACTTTTTCCAATTATTCCCCACTAAAGAATCACTAAAAATAAAAGCTGCAATGTCATTGTCGATAGACTTGTAAGTGGTTTTACTTTCCAAGGAAAAGTAATAAAAAGCTATGTGGTTAATATATAATTATTCTATAGGCTTAAACTTAAAAAAACAAACTATCATTTGCTAGACATTAGATAAATGCTGGAAATCCACTGAACCTACAGGTCCAGCTACAGTATTATCAATAAACAGATTAAAAACCTAAGTGGTAAGAATTTCCTTGACATGTATACTCTGGAATAAGGTTTCACTGAGGAAAAAAGAAATTTGACCCAAAATAATATAAAGGAATGCATGTGAAGTGTTTTTCTAAATGGTACATTTCTGTGTAAATGTATATTTATTACTAATGGGGTCCAAATCAAAGAAAGGCTCTTTTAGATAAAAAGTTACCCACACACAAAAGCACAAAAAAGTATAGTGTTGAAACACAGACGAAAGAACAGCACTAGAAAAGAAAGAGCAGGAGGAAGTAAAGACTAAAGTAGGTAAAGCAACGTTTTGATGTTAATTTAATTTTTAAAGTTTAAATGTGCATCAGAAGTAGTTTAAATAATGTAGAAATACATTCAGAAATGAAAGAAAAGGAAGCTTTTTCTTTTTGTGCAAAATTGGGAAAAACTTTGGAGGTCAATTTGACAATATTCATATAACATGTATGTTATATATATATAGTATTTTGTGCAGAAATTTTATTTCCAATAATTTGTTTAGGAGATATATTCTTACAAGTATACAGATTTTGTTTGCATAATGTTTTTAAGAGGAAAAACAAGAAAAAAAACAAAAACAAATAGTAGCTTTAGCCCTGAGCAGTTGAGCATCGACCTAGGATCCAGGAGATCGCAGTTTGATTCCCGCTCAGGGCACATGCCCTGGGTTCGGGCTCGATCTTCAACAGGGGGCCTGCAGGAGGCAGCCGATCAGTGACTCCCTCATCATTAATGTTTCTCTCTCTCTCTCTCTCTCTGAAATCAATATATATTTTAAAAAACTAAAACAAACAAAAAAAACCTTAAAGTACATTCATACAATGGAGAACTATGCAACCAAGAAAAATGAGATAGCTCCATATATACTGATATTAAATAGTGTGTGTGTTTGGGGGGAATAGAAAAATGATGGAGAATATTTGGAGGAATATATAATGATTGAATATTTCATTTTGGGAGCCTTATACTTTGGGAAGTGGGAATAAGTTTTGTGGGTTTTTTTAATCCTTACCCAACGCTATTTTTTCCCTGCTTTTCAGAGAGAGTGTGTGGGGGGGAGAGAGACATCGATATGAGAGAGACACATGGATGGTTGCCTCCCACATGCGCCCCAACTGGGGCTAGGGATTGAGCCTGCAACTGAGGTGCGTGCCCTTGGCTGGAATCAAACCCAGGACCCTTCAGTCCGTGGGCCTACGCTCTAACCACTGGGCAAACCAGCTAGGGCCGGAATAAGTTTTAAGGTCAAGGGGAGGAGGGCTTTTATTTTTCACTTTCTATTATTTAAAACTATTTGTACTTTTCTCCACTAGTTTTTATAATTTTTCTTACTTTAAAAAAAAAGTTCAATATTTATATATCATTGACATGAGAAATAGTTATGTATTTGCCGAAACTACTAAGGAAGAATTAGGATAAATTTAATAAAATATTAATAGTACATTAACTAAAGTTAGAACTAGTGGACTTTAGCTCTGCTTAAATTCAGCACAGATTAGATTTTTATAATTATATTAGAGTTAATAATTTCATAACCTTAAATTATAGCATCTTATGTTTTTGATTGAAAAAAGTTAAGACACTAATATATGAGTCTCCACATTCTTGAAAATTCTGAAATAGGACATTAGAATTATCATATGAGATTTAATTCATAACATTCCATTTTAAAATTAATTTATTAATTTCTATGGCTTGTATTCAAGGCTATGTATATTCATCCACTTTAATTTTAAGTAATAAAAATTATATTCACGTAAAGTATATTATTCTATTGAACTTTCTACTGAATAAAAGAAAAACATTTTATTTTTGCTAGATAATCCCTGTTCGAACTTTAGATTCCCTATTAACATACAGACAGACAGACTTTCTCAGGAAGGATGGTTGATGACCATGTATCATGTTCTAGCCTGAGAATTCAATTTCTATGCGTTAATCATCATCACACATTGTGACTTCTAACCCAGGCTACTTTGCAGGGCAGTTATTATTATAATCTATATCCATTCAAAAGAATTTAAAATCAATTAGACTGTAGAAACCTCCAGGCTTCTTTGATGACAGATATTGTAGCATAGAAAATAAATATCAAATAAACAATTTTCTTACTAATAAAATATTTTAAAAAGTTTTTTAGTATCGTTGATTAAATTCTGGGGCAAGAAGGGGTCCTGAAGTCCATCCAGCTCAGCTTTTCTCCAGATAGATACATCCCTTCCCATGCAAGCGTTCATCAGCCTATATTTAATATTTCAGACACAGGGTACACACAATTTCCTAAACAGCTCATAACGTCTTTGGATAGGCAGCTCTGAGAGTTAGAAAGTATTTTCTTAAATGGAGCCAACATCCATTTTAGTAACTCTGGTGCAGTGTCTACACTCTATAGCTCGAGGTGTAGCCAGTCTACACAGCCCTAATTAGCTAGGACCAAAACTGCCCCCCATACTGAACACACATAAATAAAGAAGACTCCTTCCCCTTCCCTCCATCAGACTTCACGATGCACTGCAAACAGAATTACATTTTAGACTGCTCGAAGTCCTTATATATACATGTCTCTTTTTCCTGTCATTATCAGGACAACATGGCATCGATATTATGGAAATCATTATTTATAATATTTCACCCTATGCCACTTTACAGTGTTTCCCTTTTAAAACAGCTCTTTCCAATCAGCAAAAGGCTAATGTAAGTGTTCTTTTATTTGGAAATCTAATTCCCCCCCGAATCACTAAATAAAGGCAATGGTCCCATAAACAATGATTCCCTATATTACCTAACCAAGCCCCGAGAGTTATGAATAATAAAACAGTGGAAACAGATTACCACACAGCAGAAAAATGTTCTTTACCATAAGGGTTATAGTTTAGGGTAATTTTTGGCTGAGGAAAATTGAACGTGTTTTTTTTTTTAAGGCCCTTTTATCTTGTGAATCACACAAAGCTGCTGTTGTGTGAGAACTTGGCTTCTGGATTTGCACACATCTTGTTTCCTTTACAAATGCTTCCTCACATCACTACCCCGTCCGAGTGCCCAAGCTCTTCTTTCAATCACCCTGTTGTAGAGGTGAGTAGGCAGAGAGGATTTCTAATTAATCCATCAACTCCACGGACAAAGGATTTTACAGAAGGTGGCACTTGTCATCCCTAAGACATAAAAGGATGTTCACGTGCTTTTCCTTTTTCCTTTGATCTGCACCGCACTGAGGGCTGGTGATTTAAAGCTCTTTCCAAAGCCCCGATTGATCCCGCTGTGTTCTTACCTCTTTCCTCCTGTCTTTGTCTTTCTGTAACAACCACTTGATAGATGCCTGCGGAGACTTGGGGGCACACTCGAGGAAAGTGGTGTTATTTTTTACTCCGTACTGAACAATTTCAGCTGCATTTCTATATGCTGGAGAGCGAAAGTAAATGGAGAGAGAGAAACTGGAATTTAGAGCATATTCTCCTATTTGAATGTCTGTTTCTATATACAGTGGTGGTCAATTATGGCAGCCCCCAAAGGCAGTCTTAACCATTTAGCAAGCACGCTATTATACGGGGGTGGGCAAAAGTAGGTTTATAGCTGTTCATATGGAAAAAGATATGCAGGTTAAGATAATTACAGTAGCTTTATAAATTCTGTTTTGCTTACTCACAACTATAAGCCTATTTTTGCCCACCACTGTACATTGCTTATCTGTTTTGTTTAGTCTAAAGGGAAGGAGAAAAAGGCATAAGGAAATGAATATTTATTCAAGAATTACTCTACATCAACTAGCAGAGGTATAACAGTAACAGGAATGCATTTAGTATCACTTCGAACATTTAATTACTGCAACATCCTTGTGACTCAGGTTCTCTCAGCTATTCACAGCTGAGCAAACTGAGCCTCTAAGTTACGAGGAAAAAAGTGCCAGGCAATATTGAAGCCGGGCTCATCCTACCCCTAACCATACTCAATGTATTATAAAAAAAATTCAGAAAACTCGGAGAAGGCAGGAAGCAAGGTGTGTCCACGGTGAGATGCAGTGGTTGAGAACACAGGCTTTGGAACCAGAGATAAAATCCTGATTTCACTGCTACTGACTGTGTAACCTTAGATAAATTAATTGAGCCCTCTGAGTCTCAGTTTTACTTGGCTCTAAAACATAGATTATAATAATTTCGTACAGGTCCTTTAATAAAATTCTTAAATTAGGAAAAGCATTTAGTATAATCATGTGGTAGCTTATACATGGACAGAATACTCACTGATAAAGCCGGAAAATAAATACGCCCTACTCGAGCAGAGTTTCTCGAACGTTAAGTGAGATAATCCATAAAAAACCAGTTAGCTCAGGTTCCAACACAAAATCAACATTGATGTTTGTTCATTACCTCCACTGCCAATACTCCTACCACTGTGACCACTACAACTATTAAGGAGAACGGACCCAAAATTTAGAAAATACTCAGTAAATAGAGAAAAGATAACTGGAGTTTATTCCTTCAGTTACATGTATGGAGCAACTAAGTAAAATGTGTCTAAATTTTATCTTTGTAGTTGATGTAGTTAGTAACAAGAAAGTCATTCTTTACTAAAATAACACTCAGATTCAAAAAGATTAGCAATGGAAGCCTCAGTGTTAATTGTTAACAAAGGCACAACTGGAGCACCTTGGTGAGCCTGGAGGAGTTCTGCCTGGAGCTACTTCTGCAGGCTGGGCGATGTGGGGGCAGGGGGTTAGGGGGAAAGTATAACAACATGATAGCTCCATGTCAGAATGGGAAGAAGGGGGTTAGATAAATTGTAAGACACAAGGCAGGATTATCAAAAGTATATGGAATGGTTATGGATTGTAAAATAAAGCCACTGTAGTACTCCAATATTCAGAGCAGGATTATTCACAGTAACCAACAGGTAGAAGCAACCATCAATGTCCAGAGATGGATGAATGGATAAAAAAATAATATAAACATACAATGGAATATTTTCTCCCTTAAACAGAAAGATATTCTGACACATGGTACAACACGAATGAACCCGGAGGAAGACATTATGCTAAGTGAAATAAGCCAATTATAAAATGACAAATATTGAAAGTTCCCAAACTTTTGTTTTTCACAATTCTTAGTATGCGTACAAATAGCATTTAATTTTTAATTACCATATATGAATACCAAGAATTTTCATAGCAAATCTTTCTTTAGAATGAAATACCTGAGTCTATTACAAGCTTTCCCTAACTGAAATGAGATATGGAGCACTGTTAGTCTTTTTTTTTTTTTTTTTTAAGTCCCCACCAGAGGATATTTTCCCCATTGCTTTTCAGAGAGAAAGAGAAAAACATCAATGCGAGAGCGACACACCGATTGCTTGCCTCCCTCATGCCCTCAACTGACGCTCTAACCACTGAACCAAACTGGCTAGGGTGAGCATTGCTACTCTTTCTCAAGTTTGACCATCGCTCCCTTTTACTACCTTTGAGATTAAATCCTCTGCATTGGGTCAGTGGATTGCCATGTCTCACGTCTTGTCTTCGGCTCCTCCTATAAGTGCAGAAATAGATGAAAGACTTAGAATTAACACTGTATTTAAAAGACAGAATTTTTAATTTCAAAATCTTGTGATTGCCTAAGCTTTCTTAGAGAAAAGAGGTCTGATTATCTGATATTTCTTGTTCAATGTTTCAATTATAAGGTGGGTACTTAACCTTGCTTTTAATCTAAATTAATTCAGTCTCTCCCCACCTACCACTTGTGATATCATGGCTGTGAACCTCCTATTATGTGCACTTCCTGCACATAATAAATGCTAGATTCTAAATTAATAGTGTATTTTTAGCATAGAGACATTCATCCAAAGTTTCCTAAGATGATCACCCCAAAAGTATAAAGTCACTACCACCTTCCTTCTTATACATTTTTCTTAATTAAGCATAGTTTCCTTTAAAACGTCAATACCTTTCTAAGTTTTCAGATAAATTAAAATTTTCACAAGATAACTCATACAGAGATAGAACATTGATATTTAATATAAAGTTAAGCAAAATTGTTCACTTACTAATTTAAAATAAGCATTTTCCTTCAACTTCTTATTTTGAAAATATATAAGTCCACCGAAAAGTGGGTATATGATTACAATGAACACTGGTATACCTAGGTTCATGAATTGTACTTTGCCATAGTCATTTCTTTTTCTCTCATATGCTAGTATATGTCATGTATGTTCTGTGAGTGCACATATATGAAAATCTTTAGAAAGCAAGTAGCACACGTTTCACACTTAAATGCCTCAGCATGTATCTTCTAAGAACAAGTAATTTCCTAGATATAATTATCACACTAAAAATATTAATATTTATTCAATAACATCATATAATACACATTTTATATTAAAATTTCCCTAGTTGTCCCCAAAATACCTCTTATAGATTTTTTTGCAATGTTTAGAATGTTCTATTAAAGTACAAAGTTGTCGGGATTAAGCTAAATAAAAACATTGTTAACACCACTCAAGTCACATACACGTAAAATGCAGAAAAGTCTTAAATTTTGCCTGGCCGGGCGTGGCTCAGCAGCTGAGCGTCAACCTACGATCCAGGAGATCACGGTTCGATTCCCAGTCGGGGCACATGCCCGGGTTGTGGGCTCGATCCCCAGTCAGGGGCCTGCAGGAAGCAGCCGATCAATGACTCTCTCATCACTGATATTTTATCTCTCTCTCTCCCTCTCCCTCCCTCTCTGAAATCAATAAAGATATATTTTTTAAAAACAGTTTATAAGCTGAAAATTATGGAGATTTCCCAAAATGGATATAATGGCTCACTGCTGCGTATGGCATCAATAAAATATGTAAGATCTTTGAGTGAATGTTGTCCCTACTCTTCTGCAATCCAGCGCTCCCTAGATATTTGTTCTTTGGGAAATTCACACTCAGGCAACAAGAGAAGAAAAAACAAACACTGAGATAGTCATATAATTTGTGGTATAATTTCCTTCATCCTATTGACTGTGTTGAGGTTAAGCAGCCAGAGTGTTTTAAGTTTATTCAGGATCTACTTAAGGTTCACTCATTGCATTTAGTTGTTATGTATCAACAGATGAAGCACTTCAAAAATTAGCTACATTCCTTGTAAGTTTGTCATTATTTAAATAAAAGTTTAAAATTACTTACAAACTATTTAATTTTCTGAGTCTTAGCATTAGTTAAACATATTAGTTTCAATGTTATTATATAGTACAACAAATCAAAATAGAGTAACTGACATTCTCTTGGAAACGATGTGTGGATCTGAGCATTGCAGTAAGAGACAAGGAAGGGAACTCTAAATATTGGGGGTACAGGTATAAATTGACTATTTACTATCAAGGCTGAGAAGTATATATGAATGAGCATGTCACCTAAGTGGGTTAGCTGTTAAGTCTCTCTTAACATTTTTATCCTTAAAGATATATTAAAATATTCATAATATATATGTAAGAAGAATGGCAATATTAAAATCACACAGGGATGATCATAGTTACAGAGCAAAACTAATCTCAAAGTTATTGATAATGAAAAAATTTCATTTTAAGGTTACAGCAAATTGTTAATAGTTTATGTGCTCAATGGGTTATACTCATCTATTTATGGAAATACAGGTACAAAGCTTTATGTCACTTAAATATGCTTTTTCCCAAAAAGTCACACGATCCTTATTCAATTATATATTTCTATACAGCCACAAAAACACAAGCTAGTGGAAATCACTCTTGTCTCAAAAAATACAATTATTGCTGTTCTCTAGAATAGTTCCTATGTCAGGTTCTTACTGCATTACATTTGCTATATATTTAAGTCACAACATTATCTACTATCACCCAGCTGTGAGTGTTCATCATATGAGCACCACATGGGAGTTCTTGTGGCTGAACTGGTCATTTTCAGTCATCATGACAAACAATATCACTCACAATGCTTAATTTTATTTTTCTGTGATCAGCACCACGTCATGGTTTACTCATGTACATGAACCCACAAGCTGGGCAGTCTAAGTTTCCAGTATCACATAGCTTTCAGACATTAAAATACAAAAAATCATTATTATGTCTTGGTTTAAGTGATGAGATCAGCAAGGCTAACACTGGAGACTTTTGTATGTGTAGATTCCCTGTAAGATGTTCATATAGCATCGCAGAAGCACTTTGGTAGACAGAATAATATTATATTGCATGTAGGATTTGGGATTTATCTCAAGTTACTAATTTTCCCCCCATTATAGTCTATTCCTTTGGCTAAACGATGAAATTATTTTCTTCTTGTATAGAAAACAAATATTTACTTGAAGACTGAATTGATTATCCTGTCTTAAAATAAAATTTCTAACTACATATCTGAATCCAGAATAAATAATATTTGAATCTAAATTGCAATATTAATACAAATGCCCATATATTTAAGATACTTATGGATAAAGAGGCAAAAATGCTTATATTGTTAACTATGAACTAACTTCTTTAAAAAAGAGAAATTACTGAGCCAATGATATGTAACAACTTTATGCCAAAGTATGGACTCATTGACTTCCAAGTATAACTCTATTTCTCTTTTTCCATACAAAGGTAATGTTTTTATTTCATTCTTATGTTTCTCTCACACTGATGATTCTCTCTCTCTTCCTCTCTCTCTAAAAATCAGTAAACATCATATCCTTGGGTGAAGATTAAAAAGAAATGAACATGGAAAGTTCTCCAAATTAGCATTTTTATCATTACTATTTAATCTGTAAAGAAAATAAATACTTTATATGGTAATTTGGCAAATAGTTAATTCATTCAGCAAACATGTTTTGCTTTCATTAAGTTTGGAAATAATTTGGAGAATTTAAACAGTATAGATATTTTTACTGAAGGTTCCAGTATATGAGCCAAAGCTGAGTATGAGCAGGCCAAGGAACACCATATATATTGCACTTTTGGCTCTTTGTGAGAGTATAAGGACATTACTGGAGAAACCAAGATAGTTTTTTAGATGGCTACTACTTTCTAATCCATGATGCATGTTTTTGTTCATTTGTTTGTTTGTTTGTTCCTGTTCATACTGTTTTATTGAGGTATAATTGACGTACAAGTTTCAGATGTACAACATAATTTTTTGATACATGTATATATTGCAAAATGATTGCCACGATAAGGCTAGCTAACATCTGTCACCATACCGTTTTCCTGTGATGACGGCTTTTAAGATATACACTCTTAGCAACTTTCAAATATTAAATACAGTACTTTAATCTTTTTGATGCAATTGTAAGGGATTGTTTTCTTAATTTCTCTTTCTGATAGTTTGTTATTAGTGCATAGAAATGCAACAGATTTTTGTATATTGATTTTGTATCCTGCAACTTTATTAAATTAATTTATTAGTTCTAACAGCAAATCAATGGTACATGGTTTAATACCAGGCACCATATTGTAACTTTAAAGAATTGCAAGATTGTTTCAGTTCTGTTTATTGCAAGAACAGGATTCAGGTCATGATTTGTGACATGAGGATGATGATGTGGAATCTATGTTATATTTACATCTTAGGAAGAATAACTGGGGTTGTAATAGGTGGGAGAATATTAGAACAAATGAATCAACTCATATTACAACTAAATCTGTAAAAGATATCTCAAATATGCAATGACAGTCTACACATATAGTATGGAATTTTACTTGAGAAATATTCTTTGTTTGTTAAATAAGAATGCTTGTTGGTCAAAGCCAAGGTCTGAAAGCTTTACAGGGAAAGACTGCTAATCTCCAATTCTTTCATATTATAGCAGAGACTGGTACGCTTATACGACTATGGTAAGATTCACTTTGTGGTCCCTACATTTCTTTCTTTCTTTGAAGTATAGGGTTTCAGTTTCCTTTAGCACTAAATCTGTTTAATAAGTTGAAGATTATATCCCAGATTTTACAGATGCCAACTTTTAGAACAGCTTACCAAGAAAAAAACATTGCCTTACAAACAATTAAGGAAATAATTTTGAAATATCGTAATTAGGAGTGTAAAGGAGTGGGGAGGAAGGGATCAATAGGGGAATGAGAGGGAAGAGGGCGTTTGTAATACTTTCGTCAATAAAGATTAAAAAAAACAAACAAAATATGTTTGAAAATACAGTGTCACAAAAATCATTTTTAATTTGAGATTCTTTTTGGAATTATCTTGCCTCTTACTTTTGCCCAGGTTCAGACCTGCAACCCAGAGCAGATGGAAGATCTCAGGGTAATGAGGTCCATAAATTCTATGTGGGAACCACAAGAAGTCATAGACCTCCTGACTAAATCTTAAAAATGACATGGAGGAACATGGGTCTTTGCACACAGATACTAAAGACTCCTGGTTTAAAGAATGGAAGTTCTCTTTATATCTCATGAATTTTAATACAAAAAACTTTCAAATGATCTAGCCCAGGCTACTCCCCTCTACTCCAGATTCAGATTTCTAACTTCCTACTCAACACCTCTATTTGAATATATCATAGGCACCATTCACTTATCAACTTTCTCCCCACAAACCTACTCTTTCCAGTCTTCTCTTTCTCATTCAATTCTATCTACATATTTTCAATGCTCAGTTCTGAACACTTGGTTCATTTTTGAGGCCTCTATCTTTCTAACATCCCACGTACGCCAGCAGGTTCTGTGAGCTCTATCCAGAATCAGACCACTTTTGCCACCTTCACCTCTGTCATCTCTGTGCAAGTCACCATTATATCTCACCTGGATCATCAGGGTAGCATGTCTTGCAGCTTCTCTCTCCTCGCCCCCCCCCTTTTCCTACCCCAGGGTGGCAATCCCAGACAAACCCAACTACATGATATTATTAAACCAAAGTCAAATTATCACTCACATATGCAAAATCCCTCCTTTGTTTTCTATTTCAGTTCAGCTGTAAGGATTTCTGGCCCCTCTCTTTGGAATGCTATTGTCCCAAATAATGACATGGTACCATTTTCACATTCAAGTCCTAGTTCAAAATCTCATCCTTGGTAAGGTCTCCCCTGCCCACCCAGTTAACATTGCAATCCCCCTGCCTCCCCCTTCTTTGTCCTTTTAAAATTCATAGACTTTCTCATTTTTTGATATACTAGAGGGTTTTCTTATTTGTTTATTGTTTGTCTTCTCCCTTTAGAACTTACTAGCCCACAAAGCAGGGGCTTTTGTCTTTGCTGTTGTTGTTAGAGTGATACACCTACCTCTAGAACATTGCTTGGCACATAAGTGTCCCATGATACGCATTTGTTGAATTAATAGATAAAAGCATCGGAATAACCTTTATACATACAAGGGCAAGGGTTGTTTAAATTGTCAATGTCCTTAAAGGCCTGTATCTATGACAGGGGATATAGTACTTATAAAGCAACAGCCAACGATTTTACTTGAAAGCTCATTGGTGCTCATGGCTGGTCCTATTTGCTCTCTCCTGCCAGCACTAATTTGTATAGGTTTTTGTCCTGTCATCCCTCACAACCCATATCAAGATGTGCCTGAAAATATCTGTGACTTTGGCTGAACCTAAATTCTGCATATTCCTTGTTCTACAGTCAGTTTCTCTTCTGGTGGTCCCCTTCCCAGTTGGTGCAAGTTGGTTCAGAGTTTCCTGCCTAAGTCTTTGCTTGGATAAAAGACACTCCCTCACCCAGCTGGGTGTGGCTCAGCAGTTGAGCATCGACCTAGGATCCAGGAGACTGTGGTTTGATTCTCGGCCAGGGCACATGCCCGGGTTGGGGGCTCAATCCCCAGTCGGGGGCATGCAGGAGGCAGCAGATCAATGATGACTCTCATCATTGATATCTCTTTCTCTCTCTCTCTCTCTCTCTCTCTCTCCCCCTCTCCCTTCCTCCCTCCGAAATCAATAAAGATATATATTTTTTAAAAAGACACTGCCTCAGACTGCCTTTCCCTCTTAATCTAACTAGCAATCATGCGTTCACCATTCTAAAGCATAAAGAATGCTCACCAAGGTTTTGAAGGCTACTCAGGGTGCCCATCCTGGNTCGGGGGCATGCAGGAGGCAGCAGATCAATGATGACTCTCATCATTGATCTCTCTCTCTCTCTCTCTCTCTCTCTCTCTCTCTCCCCCTCTCCCTTCCTCCCTCCGAAATCAATAAAGATATATATTTTTTAAAAAGACACTGCCTCAGACTGCCTTTCCCTCTTAATCTAACTAGCAATCATGCGTTCACCATTCTAAAGCATAAAGAATGCTCACCAAGGTTTTGAAGGCTACTCAGGGTGCCCATCCTGGAGTAATGCTCCTTTTGCCTAAACTAGCACAGGCATTTTTTTAAAAAAAATTTATTGATTTTTAGAGAGAGAGGAAGGGAGAAAGAGAGAAACACCCATCAGTGTGAGAGTGACACACAAATAGGCTGCCTCATGCATGCCTCCTACAGGGGATTGAGCCTGAAATCGGGCATATGCCCCAATGGGGAATGGAACCAGCTACCCTTTGGTGCACAAGATGACACCCAACCAACTGAGCCACACTAGCCAGGGAACTAGCACAGGCATTTGATTACAGTAGAACAAAGTGGCACAGGGAAACCCTAGGAAGGTGGGACTTAAGGATATACTCAATCAAGCATATAAAACAAAACAAAACAAAAAGATTTTACAAAATTAGGTAATGTAAAAAAAAAAAAAAAAAAAAAAAAAAANTAAGGATATACTCAATCAAGCATATAAAACAAAACAAAACAAAAAGATTTTACAAAATTAGGTAATGTAAAAAAAAAAAAAAAAAAAAGATAAACCCTGATTGAAATATTTGATGTAGCACAGGTGGGGGTTGAGTGGCAGAGGTGCCTTAAAAGGAGAAAAAAACAATTTCCAACGTAAAGTACTCTAACATATCCCTGAGAATCTCAAGTTATAAAGCACTAACGTTTTCTTCATATCAAGGCTGTTCGTGGCGCTAAGCATAGCTGCCGCTTTTAGGGCCAGTTTCAAAGCAAACCACAGCTGGCCGGGGACATGGGTTCTGCTTTTCAGCGGCTGTTCCCTACTCACCGCTTCCCGGTTGGGTAGAACCTAGAGCAGGAGTGGCCGTCCCAGGCGCAGTAAGGGTCCCGGGCCAGGCAGCAGTCGGCGCAGGCTGTGCCGTAGATGTGGCAGCGATGCAGAGACACTTGGGAAAGCCCTTCGTTGGAGCTCACATACAACTGTTGCTATTAGAAGAATGATGATGATTTATTTCAGATGTGGAAGTTAAAAGAGGGCTTTCAGCAGGAACACATTATAGTATATGCCCACAAACCCTTGGATTCATTTTGAAAACAGACTAAAAACAAGAAGCGAAGTCTAGAAGGGTATAAAGCCAAAATAAATAGAATTTTCCTACGTTAATATGCCTATAGCATTACCACTTTCCTGTTTAAAGAAAAAAGCTCAGAGTACCAGGTAGAATGGTAATGTGTTTTAGACATTGGGATTCATTGTTCTCTGAGATGTGAGCTAATATATTACAGGTTGAAATTATGACGTTTGCTTTTTTCTTTGAATGCTGTCTCCTTGCAAAGTACAAGGCAGCTCTCCTGTTCTTCAAGTCTGGCAACCTATCACGTTGTAAATTTGAAAACAGTGAGGTCTAAAATACAAGGCATTTTTAAGTTTAGAAGAAAAAGTAGATAGTAGTACATAAAATTTTAAAAGTACATTTTTCACATGCCTTTGAAAGTGACATATTTCTCATCAGGTGATTTTTTGAATTATTTAGAAGAATAGCAGTATTTGTATTTAGACACGCCTTAAGCTTTCTGTATATCTAGAGCTACTCAGCACCCTAAGTCATAAATAAAGATTTCACCCTTCTTTTGTAGGGTTATTTGGAGTTTTTTTATGCTACTGCTCCAGTTTCTTTAGCTGAGCATAAAACGGTTCTCGGGAGTTGAAGGGTAGTTTCTAACTGATGCTAAGCATTTTACAGAGGCCCGATACACATTTCGAAGTTAGCATAGGACTCTAAGCTGGAACTTGAATACATGCCCATGCCCATTCATGTGCATGCGCACACCTACATCTACACGTATTTTATACATATGCTACTTAAAATTAAATCAGTGGGGACATCATTGGTCCAGCAAGCTCTGGAGGCAGGCTTCTGGGATTCAAATCCTGACTCAGCCATAAACTGGCTGTGAAACTTTTCTCAATCTCAGCTTCATCTTGGGTAAAACTGGGGTAATAGATCATCTACTCAATGGTTTTTGTATGAACTAAATGTAAGGGCTACCTCCACATAAAATTCTTAGCATAGTTCCTGACTCCTAAGAGCTCGGTGAATGTTAAGTAGCCGTAGTAGTAAATTATAATTAACTATCAATTTATAATCTTTCAATTCTGTTCAATCATTTGAATCACATTTCACTCTATGTCTAATGTAAAATAATTCTTTTATTCAGATCAATTAATTTTTCAAAAATTGGGCTGAAAAATATTGATCCCCAGTGAGACATTCAAACCATAAGAAAACAATTGCATGTTTTGACAATAATCATTTCTCTGGCAACATTTGAAATAGTGCTTATTGAGTACATTGATAATAATATAGTGAATGCATCAACTTCTTTAAAAAATTTTGAGGAAATTGGTTTATTTGAGAAAGGAATACAGATAGTTTCATTTTAGAAATTATCCTTTTTATTAATCCAACTATTATCTACTATATAGTATGTAAGAATAAATTAGACAATAAAGGTTCATAAAAAGGATAATAAAGTAGTTTGAGTAGTAGAAAAGGTACTAAATTCATGACATTGAAATATATATGTAGATATATATTACCATTGGCATTTTGTATTTCTTTCCCACTGTAAAAATAATGCTGTATGCAGTTGGACAAATGAATTCCCCCCAAAATCAAGTAATTACCCTGCCCTCTATCTAAATGATTTAATGAAACATTTGTAATTATCTACAAGATGTTGAAGACATTTAATATCAGTTTTTTCTGTGTACATGTATGTGTTGTATATTTCAATTTTATGGAATGCATTGTGACCTACAAGTTCACAACTTGAATTAAAAGTTGGAATGTGTAATTGTATGCTGAACTACTACTATGCCACACAAATGGCTTTGTGTTCATCTTGAATTTTGCTCTAATACTTTCTCTTTCCATTAAACTACTGTAAACAAAGGACTTCCCTGCTGCTGACTTCAAAGACGATGCTAACTAGGGATCAGCTCTCTAGGACACTGGGGAAAATGACAAATGGCTTCTTGTTACTTGGGAAAATGTTTGTTATGAACCATACAAACATTTTTAAAGATGAGATCTTTAGCTTTGTTGCGTCCTATTTATTTTTCTTCATAAAATTAGTGGAGTGAAAAATAGTACAAGACTGTGGATTACTTGTTCATCTGCAACAGACCAAATATGGTGAACACTAAAATTATGTCATCAGTTGTGCTAACACATAAAATCTTTATTCTCTATTCCAAGAAAAACAAATCTGAGGCTCTTACAAACAGCAGTTACCAAAGACCCAGTTTATTTTAGGGAAGTTATATAAATTAATTTGTTTGTGAGAAAAGCACTACCTTGTAGAGGCAGAAACTTAGCTCAGTGAGGTTAAATGGTTCATTCGTAATTTACGGTCAGGTTGGGATTCAAATGCATGCCAGTCCTGTTCTGAAGCCTACTCCATTCTGGATTATACTGCTCTGGCCCCAAAATATTTGTTTTGGGGTACCACTGGGAGATGGAAGGTGCATATGTTACACATGTAGAGACCGGAACTGGATTTTTTCTTTCTGTGATCCTTGTGTATTTGCCCGTGCAGGCACAAAGGAGGTTAAACATTCCTGATAATCAGAGTCTACCATTTCTTCACCAAATCTGGAACCTGGATATGGCTTAGATGTGAAACACTCAGATTTTTTAATGACATATATAGCCCTAAAAAAAATAACATTTTCTTAGAAATAAGCATAAAAAATGCATTGCACATTTGAAACATGCAACAGCAGCAGGAACTCAGCAGAGGACTGATTACTCATTCCAAGCCCCTGAGAATGTGATGTTATAGTAGCCCAAACTTTATGCTAAATTCTTTCTTCAGAAAGATTATTTTCATTTTGGTTCGTTTAACATACAGTAATATTTGAGAATATGGGATATGCAAAATGTTGGCAATCATGCTGACATATGTATGTTCTGCTCTGACGGATTTTTGTACAAAAATAAACCTGTTTTGTCTTCACTAATAGCTAGTGAATTCTGCAATCAAAATTGAAGGTGATTTTGTGGTATCCTGTAAACAGCTTTAATTATTTTGCTAATATTGAAATTAATTTTTCAGAAATTATAAATATATTTTTTCATAGTAATAAAATTTTTTACATGCAAACAAAATTAAAACGGGATTGATTTTACCTTTTTAGATGAAATTTTCATTGTTGTTATAGGAACATGATTCTGAAAAATTAGAAAAACATTATGTTAGTTGATCAAATAATCATTAAAAATAATTTTGCATTAAAAATTTATTATCTTTTCTACTGAAATTCAAAAAATCATCATTTCTCTCTAAATGCATATGTACTTGCAAAGTCTAGCAATACTTGTCTATAATACATTTCCTCTGTGGGGAGTAAGGATGGATTTGTCACACAAATATATGCCTAAACTGAAAAAAAGGTTGCAATTATAACACATATATCAATATAGTCGTTAGAAAAAAAGGACAATTTGAGAGAATTGAAAAAAGTGTATCTTGGAATACTGAATCCAATGAGTAACTCAGGATTGAATCTGGGTACCTGGATGGGGGGCTGCGGACTAGTACCCCATCTTTTTCCACAACACAGCACTCTGCATAAGTCACTGTTGTCCACCCGACCAAATCTGTTTTGGAAAGATGTATTAGCCTGAACCATACTTATTAATCCCTTTCGTTGCAAACAAAGTAATATTGTTACGGATCTTCTTTTTAATTTTATTTTTTATTTTTAGGGTGAGGAAGAGGGAGAGAGAGAGAGAGAGAGAGAGGGAGAGAGAGAGAGAAAGAGAGAGATGTGAAACAACCACTGGTTGCCTCTCGCACACGCCCGGACCCGGGACTGAAGCCCGCAACCTGGGCATGTGCCCTGAACTGGAATTGGACATGCCACCTTTGGGAGTATGGCATTTCGCTCCAAACAACTGAGCTGTACCGGGCAGGGCAGGGATCCTTTTTTTTATAAATGGGATCTAGTTAAAGAACTTAAGAATTTTCTGAAATAGTAATCTTTTTGAAAGTCACTCTATTCATAACTTTAGCTGGTAAATATTATTAGTTACTTTTAAAGATTAAAAATTAGACTTGTGATAACCTGATGAAGGTCTGTGACATTTTATTTGATTAACTCAGGTGGGAGCAACCTCTCAAAATCAACTGTGCCCACAATGATTTCACTTTCTGGAGCTGTGTGTCCTTCTATTTAAAAGATAAAATGGTGAGATTTCTAAACTCTCTATTGAAATAAGTTTTGATCATTGCTTAGAAATACGCACACATACAAAAGAAAGTATTGCAACTTACATTCACCTAGGCAACTTCTTTTAGTTGTACCTCCAATTCAAGTTAAGTTTATGGAAGCTGGACATATTTTCAGAAAATATTCTGAACAGAGGATTAAAATAAGAGATTGTGGTTCTGCACAGTATATAAAACAAAGTGCCTGGCCTTTTAAAGTTACATTGAGTATATTAGTGTGACACTTAACTAAGGATTTTTTTTCTATTCAAATGCATTATTTTCTTACGTGCCCTTACAGTATATCACACACACTCAATTATTTTTACCTCACCTCAGAAAATGTGACACAAACACCACGTCGAAGACAGTAACTGTATTTGGTAACTGTATCTCTCAGTTTAGCCATATCAGTCACTGGCACAGGCATGAGTGAGAGGCTCAAACACTTTCAGTCTCTCTTGGGCTGATGTCCCCCGCGTGCATTTTGACTGACTCTATTTTTCCACTGAGAGTTTATTCTTTGTGATGATAACACCAGCATAACTCATATAACAGACCATAAGTAGTTAGCACATGATCAGAAGAACTCACGTTTCTTTAAGACCTTTCCATAACATGTATGTTTGAGTTTGTGTCAAACTCACTTAATTAACATTTCCTGATTACCAGAAAAAGATTATTTCAGAATTAAAAATGAAGTGCTGCAATAAGGCATTTTTACTATCTTCACGAGGACTTCAGAATAAGGTACTTTAAATTATTTTGACTAGCCAAATTTCCCCTAGTGAATTGAATGAGAAAAATATATACATTTTTTTATATAATGTGATTCTGGTTAATCTAGTGAAACAATTTCTTTACAAAGCAAGTCATAGAAAAGGCACTTAAAAACACATGATTAATGTTTAATGAGCACAATTTTAATGCACTAATCAGAAAAACTTTATGACAACGTGAACTAGCATTAAAAATTGTAAATTTAATAACACCAAACAATTTGCCGGTTTCTCCCATTTTATATTTGATGGTTTCATTTTAAAAAATGTTTCTTCACATTGAAAATTTATTAACATCATCTAACAGCATGCCATCTTGACCATTTATGTGCTTATAAATTCAATATTTTTGGTGACTGTGGTAATGTATATTAATAAATCAATGCATTCTGAGTCCACTAAACTAAGCAAAGCAGCTCACTGGACTAGTAATAGTCTGCCAGGGTTCTGAATGCTACTTTTATGCAGTTATACGCTGACCCTAGTGTTTTGATGTCCATGGGCCAATGTTTAATTGTTTGAGTTGGAAATAGTGTAGAATTGATTCCATGTCAAAGGTTCTTTTTCAAGCCTAACAGCTCCTCTGTCTGTGCTTTTACCCATCTTTTCAAAGCAGATGTAAGGGACCACCTGAACTACAAGGACCCACTCCTTAAGGAGAGAAGCTTGTACAGACACCACAGATCTGCTTTCCAGGTTCACAGACACATAAAGAACAGGCACTCTGCCCTGCGAGGCAAGATCCTGTAGGACTCAACTTCCCTCTGTCCCTCTGTGTGCCTTTTTGTTGTGTTTTTCTTTTCTTTTCTTTTTTTTTTTAAGTCAAATTCAAGAGCAGAAAGGATAATACAGTGAAATGTCAAGTTCAGAGAGAACATAAAATTTTGAGTGATAGACAACATTTGTTTTACTTATTAGGGTGACATTTAAATTGAAAGCAATAAAAAAAAGAGAGAGAGAGAAAACAAAGCAGTTTATCTTGAAATTCCTGCTTAAAAATGAGAAAGTTTATCTAACAATCAATAATGTGGAAGTATTTGGGTTTCAGTGGTTTGTAAAGCAAATGATAAAAGCCCTTTCATGGCAAATCTGCTAGGCCTTGACCACAAGAACTTATATTTTAAGAATAATGATGAGCAAAATTCTTCAAGTTGTGGTGACAGCTGAAAAAACTAATCCTTTTATGTTAAGATAGCTTGAAATGCATAAAAATATTTCAGAAAAATATTTGTTCTCTGTTTCTCACTTTATCTGGTGTTTTCTACCCTCAAAATTTATAACATTCCTTATTTGAGCTTAGGCAAAATATTATTTTCCTCCAAAGTGTCTGTAAGATTAAAGAATGCTGTTCATTATGCATGTTCAGAGACCAATAGAAGAGATGCTCAAACCTTAAAAACTTCCAGCTCCTCCAGGATGAGCTCACCACTGGCAGAGCTGTTAGTCGGGAGAACCACCACCTTCTGCACAGTACCCCGATCTAAGGCAGAGGAAGAAACAATGGGATGTTACAATACTTTTTTTAATGGAAAGAAAGACACTTAGACATAAGATTACTGGCTTAGATTTAAAATACTATTCTTGTGTCTATAAACATTTTCTAAGCATATCATTATGCCACTCTATGAATCATATATATTTTAGGTTTAAAAGAAACCAGTTGAGATTTAGCAATGTGTGATTAAAGCACATTTTTGAGTGTTTTGATAAAGTAGCAATACATTTCCTCCAAAATATGTTTCTAATAAAATAACTGAGATACATTATAAATATCAAGGCATTATTCTTTTAATGTATGAGCACTCACCTGTGAATTTTTAATTTGGAAAGGTAAATTATCACAGATACTGAAACATTTTTTAATTCTGTTGACAAATGTCAATGAGAAGAGTTAATTTGAACCAAGCTGGACAGGACTTTACAACAAGGAGTCATTTAGTGATGAACACCACAAATCTCAAATCTCATATCTCAAACTGTCCTCTTTTCCACAGGCAAGAGATACTCTGACATAAAAGATCCATTTCATGTTTACAGTTTCTATTTTATGAAACTGATTGAAACACTCAAAATAATTCTTCATGAAAAATAAACTCTACTTGAAAAGGTTACCAACTAAAAAATTAAAACCTGCTGAAAAAAAAAAAAAAAAGTTTATATACAGAAGAACAAGACTTAGAGATTTTTCCAGAACAATCCTTGAATCTTATGAGGATACAAAGTATCTGATCTTAGAAGCACCTCATCTTAGAAGTTTCAAACTATACTCTGTAACTTAAAATTCATTTCTTCATACTCAAACATAAATAAGAATCCCAAAGCTTTGCAAGCTTTAGGTGTAATTTAAAAAGTGTGACTTTTTAAAACTGATTAGCCTCTTTAGAATGAGCCCTGGTAACAATCTGTACTATTTTCTTAGAAGATAAGGAATGAAAGTATATGCTGAAAGTGAAAAAACATTTGAGGGTGCCAGGCAGAGACATCACAATTGAAAACTGATGAATGTGGGTGAAGGTGTTTCCCAGTTTCTATTAACAGTCCATCACCAAGAGCAGTGGGAAGTTCTGGGGAATAGAACATACCCAGAAACCTAAAATGAAATCCTTGTAATTATAACAGTTAGTGTGTGTGTGTATGTGCATGTGTGCGTATGACAGATGAGGGTATAAAAACATCTTTGTTTTAGGTCCTGTTATCAGAAAGGTCATGCTTTTTATTTTCTAAGAAGTCACAGCAGAGTCTCATGGCTCCTGCTGCAGCTTGTAAGGATCACTCCTTTCTCCACGACAGCAATGACCTCTTTCCTGAGCAGAGACTGAGCAGAAACTGTGTTTAAACATAGTCCCAAATAAAACTACATGAAAGGAAACCTTGATTACAGGGGTTTCAAAAGATAAAACTATCAACTCGGAAAATATTAATTAACTATTCTCAAATGAGACAACTGGCTCCTTTTTTTACCCAATCTTAACTTGCTATGAGCAAAATTTTACATAAATCATTATTTCTTCTGAAAGAACCCACATAAACATACTTTATTAATGCCATTTATAAAATATTACAAAGATAGTAGCTATTAAAATAGTCTAAAAAAAGGTAATGCAAAACTTGCTTTTTACTCATTTGCAACAAAACTAGAATACCTTGTTTTATTGATTGTCTTCCTATTTTAGTTATTTTTGTTTGTTTGTTTTGCTGGTAATGATGAGTAAGTTTCCATTTTATTTTAAGACCATTAAAGGGAAAGATATATTTTTTCTACCAAGTAACACTGAATGTGAAGTTATCTGAAACTCTTGTAAAAATATAAGTAAACTTCAGCATTGGCAACAATACTGAAAATGAAGTTTATATAAAATCATAGACATGCAAGATCCATATACAGAAACAAATATTTATTGGATGCCTACTATGGGGGTGGTTCTATGATAAAAATGTATTACTTAAATCTGACTTTCAAGAAAATAAATAACCATTTTAATTCTTCTACTTCTCCACATTTAGATTTGTATTGGTACTTTAGGAGCTAGCATTTCTACAGAGCCCTTCATTACACTGATTTCATTTTAATCATTGTATTCCAAATGATAATATCTGTTCTTATTATAATTAAACACACTAAAAGTTTTTATGCATAAATTAGAACAGTCATTCAAATTTGTGGTTTCCAATATGAATAAAATAGGTTTAAATCCCTGTGTTATTGTTAGATATCACCCTTAACAATGGTTAATCCAGTTTTTATGAGACATTCAACTTATATAGTTTGGAGGGCTTTCTTTAAGTAAAATAATACAAAATTATATATATATGTCTTTTCCTTTAATGGTCTTAAAAAAAATGGAAATTCACTCATCATTATCAGCAAAACAAAAAAATAACTAAAATAGAAAGGCAAGCAATAGTTTGTCTAATTTTGTTGCAAATGAGTTAAAATAATACAAAAACAGAGTTGTTTGGGTCTTTCTCAACAGGCACAAATGCAGAACTCTAAAGTCAAGGCAAATCCACCCGTTATAATTAGCCTATTTCTCTAAAAGAAGATTCTATAAAACTGGACAATGACACATTCTTTAAATCGAAGAAGTTCCATGTAATATATAGACATCCAATATATACTATATCTTATTACTACAATTTTATCATTCAAGATCACTCACATGTCAGCAAAAAGTTGGAAAATTTCTTCCGTTGAATATAAACAAATCTACCTCTTTTTTTCATTGGCCTTCCTTCTACAGCTACCGCGATCATACACATTCTGTTTTTCACAGCCCTCCAGTTTATCTTTATACTCTCCCTACTCTCTCTGTGCTCTAAGTATGATCACTCCCTTCAGTAATACCTTATTCAAATTAAAACCGAAATCACACTCCCTGTCTTTCTCTGGATGCTCTGCAGTTTGGCATTATCCCATTTAAAAAGTGATGCTCAGAATTATACAGATTTTTTTTTTTTTTATGATGATACCAGATCTCACTGAGGCTGGAATATGTAAAAGGCACAGCAATAGTTCTAGTAGTTCATCAACAAATTAGGTGACTGCACAGAATCTCTAGGACTTGGAGTCTCAGAAACAAATATCTCAACTCTAGTGAACAACATTTGCAAGGTTCCACTCTGGACGTCTATATTTCTGCTCCTGATTCCCACAGCCTCTAGTTCATATACTCAAGAGACAGATTTAATTTGGTCCAATTTAATCATAACTAAAGCACATCATAAACCAATATTTAGTAGACAGTTCAGTTGTCAAATGCTTAAGTATCATTTTAATCAGCTGTGGCCTGCGAAAGAGTCAATATATATGGAATCCCCCATGGCTCCTGCCTAAGCAGCCCCATGTTAATGGGATGGTTTCTTCCAAAATGCAGTCCTAGTAGACACTGATGGTTTTCTTTTCAAAACACTCACACATCTTTCCTATATAGGAAATACTTTTATTTTTTAAATATTTTTTACTTATTTCAAAGAGAGGAAGGGAGAAGGAAAGAGATAGAAACATCAATGTGAGAGAGTCATTGATCAGCTGCCTTCTGCACACCCCCTACTGGGGATTGAGCTTGCAACCCAGGCGTGAGCCCTGACCTGGAATTGAGCCATGACCTCCTGGTTCATAGGTAGATGCTCAACCACTGAGCCACACCAGTTGGGCTATAGGTATAGGGAATACTTTTGAGGTATCCTTGGGCTGTATCATTCACCACTAAGTAAATAAGTTGACTTGGGTTGTCTTCTATCCATTTTCATTCACTGATTCAACAAGAAATTATAGAACACCTTCAGTGTATCAGGCACTATATCAAGTATGTATGCAGAGATAAATAGGCATAGTGTTCAAGAGTTCACAGTTTATAATTTATGGTTTTTTGAGTAGCAGGTGTGTTCCCATTAAAATGTTAGTCATTGAAAAATATGCATTTTAGAATGTTCATAAAATTCCCAATTACTTATGTCTATATAAAGCTATCTCTGTGTCCTTCACTTTGAAGATGATAATGTAGTTATCAAATGTCTTCCTTCTGGGGGTAGTGAGAATGGCATTCCTTGAATGTACTCACAACATGAATCATTTTTATTGTCCTGCAGAATTGGGATATTGCTTTTATTCCCTTGGGAAAAGTACCACACCTACAATAAAGTTACAGTGAAGTAGATTATTTTTCTTTTTCCCTTAAACCTCAGTTTGCTTGTGTGTACAATGTAAATAATAATTATATCTTTTGTGATAGATACTTGTTACTAAGGCCTACCCAGAATCACCTCCCTTTCTTTTGGTAATAACACACTGAGACATTTGGGAAACAACCTCTTTTTCATTTTCAGTCTGCATAGTTAAGGAATGGTGTAACACCTTCCTGATCCAGAGAGAAACACAGGACTCAGGCTGGTCCCAAAGGGATTCCTTTGCCCAGTGATTCATGCAGGAGTAAGCACAGAACAAGTCAGGGTCCATCCATCCCTGAGAATTACATAGGTGGAAACCTCTTTCTTTCTGAGGTCAGGGCTGTTAAAGATGTAAATCTGGAGTTTTGGAGCCATCCTTGCTGCCATATGCTGAGGATTTATGTTGTGAGTACATTCAAGGGATGCCATTATCACTACCCCTAGAAGGAAGATATTTGATCACTACATTTTGATCTTCAAATTAAAGGATACAGAGATGGCTTTATGTAGACATTAGTAATTGGGAATTTTATTGACACTCTAAAATGCATATCTTTCAATGACTAACATTTTAATGGAAGCAAACATAAATTCCAGACATCATTTTAGCACAAATTCAGCTATGTCTGAGGCTGCTTCCTGCATTTCCCAGTTGAACACACACACACACACACACACTGGTTTTTTTTGGACTAGTTTGAGTAAGATGCGTGGTCACTTTCAGTTGAAAGAATTCTGATTAATAAAAGCTACATGAATACTACATGGAAATTGCTTATCATGATGTCTGGAATATAGTATGTCCTTAACAAG